GATATGCGAAGGTGCCATATGGACATGTGAATGTAGTCTTTTCCTGATCACAAGGGCGGATGGGGATTTGAAAAAAAACCGGAATATCCATCCAAGTAACAGAAAAAGGAATGGTTAGCCAATCGTTCGAGCATTTGATCAATGAAAGGCAAGGGGAAATGATCTTTACGGGTGGCTTTATTTAATTTTCTGTAATCAATGCACATCCGCCACCCTGTAACAGTTCTTGTGGCAACAGGCTCGCCTTTGTCATTCTTGACAACTGTCATACCTCCTTTCTTTGGTACTACTTGTACAGGACTAACCCACTTACTATCTGAGATAGGGTAGATTATTCCTGCAGCAAGCAATTTGAGAACCTCTTTCTTGACTACCTCCATCATAGTTGGATTTAGCCTTCTTTGAGGTTCTCTAGAGGAGGCATGATCGTCCTCAAGAATGATCTTATGCATACAAAAAGAGGGATTAATACCCTTGATATCATCAATGGTATACCCAATAACATTTCTATATTTTCTTAAAACAGCGAGAAGTTTCTCTAATTCAATGTTATTAAGCTCAGCATTAACAATAACAGGGTATGTATTTTTAGGACCAAGATATGCATATTTAAGATTAGATGGAAGGGGTTTCAACTCTACCTCGGGAGGCGTCGAACTCTCCCCAACACTCGATGTACTAAGGACTTCCTTGACTGGAGCGATGATTGGATTAGCTTTTGCGTCTTCTAGTAGCCTCGTGTACTCCTTACTTCCCAATCTTCATCATGGATACTCCCTATCGACACCGTTTCAAGAGCATCTTCCTTTTTGATCAGGGGAAGTTGTTCTTGTTGTAGATCATCGAGGACATCCACTTGACAAATAGTCTCACCCATAGACGGATTTCCCATAGCATTCAGTAATGAATACTCCATTTTCTCATCCCCTACTTCAAATGTTATTTTTCCCATTCTTCATGTCAATAATTGCACCTGCAGTAGCTAAGAATGGTCTACCAAGAATAATAGGGACATGGGCATCTTCTTCCATTTCCATAACAACAAAATCACATGGAATAAAGAATTTACCAACTCGCAATGGAACATCTTCAAGTATACCGAGGGGAAATTTAACTGACCTGTCTGCAAGTTGCAGAGATATCCTTGTAGGCTTTAGCTCACCCATTTGAAGCTTTTCGCAGATGGAGAGCGGCATAAGGCTTACACTTGCACCAAGATCGCATAGCGCTCTATTGATCTCTATATCTCCCAGCTTCACTGGGATTGAATAGCTGCCTGGATCACCTAGTTTCTTAGGAAGAGTGTTTTGCAGAATGGCACTACATTCTGCAGTTAGAGAAATAGTAGCATTCTCTGCAAGCTTTTTCTTGTTAGATAGCATGTCTTTCAAAAACTTTGCATAAGAAGGCATTTCAGAAATTGCATCCAAGAACGGTATATTAATGTGAAGTTTCTTAAGGATGTCTAGAAATTTACCGTACTTTTTCTCTAACTTAGCCTGGGCTAACCTCTGTGGAAAAGGGACGCTTGGAATGTATTCCCGTGGCTTTTCTTGAACATCATTCCTTGGAATTGGGCTGTCTGGATCTCGCGCCCGGTCGGGCAGTGATTGCCCAGTCTGACCGGGCGAAGAAGAGCTGCTTATGTTCTTTTGTTTGTCTGGAATTTCTTCGTGCGCCCGATCGGGCGGACTTTGCCCGGTCTGACCGGGCGAAGAAGAAATTCGCACATTCCCCTGTTTTTCGTCGACTGCTTCTCGCGCCCGATCGGGCGGACCTTGCCCGGTCTGACCGGGCGAAGAAGAACTTTGCCGATTTCCCTGTTTTTCACTCATTCCCTCAATATCTATCGTTGATGGTTCCCTTACGGGAAGGCCTTCCAACTGTTTTCCACTCCTTAAAATTACAGCATTCATGTGCCCCTTTTGTGGTTGCTCTGTTTGGCCAGGAAACGTACCTGGTGTTTTTGAAGATTGGCCGACTTGATGAGCAAGTTGGCTTATTTGATTTTCCATGAGCTTATTCTGGGCTTGTAACTGTTGGATGGAATTATTTGTGGTGTTGATGAAGTTCTCCATCATTAGTTCGAGATTGGATTTTTGAGGGAGTGGTTGCATAGGTTGCATGGGTTGTTGTACTAGGGGTGGTCTTGGTTGAAAACCAGGTGGATTATAATTGTTGTTTCGAGGTGGGGGCGGAGGTGGATTTTGCTGAGCCTGGGTGTTTTTGTATGAGAAATTTGGGTGATTCTTCCAACCTTCATTATAAGTATTAGAATGGGGATCGTATGGTCTTTTAGGGTTGGAATTGTAGAAGGCATTGGCTTCCTCAATTGATACCTCATTCGAATTTCGTGGGCAATTAGGTGCGATGTGACCTTGAGTATTACACATTTGACAAGTTTCTAGCACATTATTAGAAGATCCAGTTTGTAATCTATCGAACTTGCTTGAAAGTGCCTGCACAGAACTAGTTAAAAGAGTTAGAGCATCAACATCTAATTTACCTCCTTTCTTGACACTATTTCGGCCGCCTGGGTGATAGTTGTCATTGGCTGACATCTTCTCAACCAGCTCCTTTGCTTCGGTTGGATTTTTAGTTAAAAGGGAGCCTCCAGATGCGGCGTCGATATAGATCCGGAATTCATGGGTTAGACCGTTATAAAAGGTTTGGATTAACATCCATTCAGGTATGCCATGATGAGGGCACTGTCTCTGTAATCTCTTGAATCTCCTCCATGCGTCATATAAGGATTCTTCATCTGATTGCCTGAAAGTGGATAGCTCGTTCCTTAATCTTGCAGTCTTTTCTTGTCCCAAGAACTTGACCAGAAAAGCTTTTACTAGTTTATCCCATGTATCAAAGGAACCAGAACCCTCATCTCTTAACCATTCCTTCGCCCTATTCCCGTAATGAGAATGGAAAAAGGCGAAGTCTAAGAGCATCATCTGTAACACCATTCAGCTTCATAGTGTCACACTTTTCCAAGAAACCATCTATATGATTCACTGGGCAATCAAGAGGTGTGCCAGCAAATGAATCATTGGATATGAATTGAATAAACTGCGGTTTCAATTCAAAATTCTGAGCGGTGATAGGTGGTCTAACAATGCTAGAAAGGAGTCCGGTTGTTGTGTCAGGGATACCGTACTCCAAAAGAGACTTTGTTGCTTGGTCTTCCATATTTCTGTTACCTGCTCTTCTTCTACTTCTTCGTCTTCTTGCAGTCGCTTCAATTTCTGAATCGAGAGGCACTAAGTCGTCTGACCCTGAGCGACGTGTTTGCATACAACAAAGAACTAGGCAAAGAACATCAAAAACACAGGAGGCAATAGCCGAAGCAACAAACAACGCTTAGTAAAAACGAATCACGGAAAATCAATATGAAACCGTTAGTCCCCGGCAACGGCGCCAAAATTTGATAGGCTTATCGCGTACCTAACAAAAATAACCTAACTATTCCTTCTAACTGTGTAGTAGGGCAAGTAAGGATCGAATCCCAAGAGACTATGGTTCATTCAATTAATCAGACTCAATTAATCACTAAGCACGTCACCAATCAATAATGGATGATAATAATCAACTAATATATTAAATAACACAATTAACTAGAGGAAATATTAATCAATAGACTAAAGCATCCAAGATCAAGCATTACCACGATTATGATTGATAAACTAATAAATCTACCCCCAATATATAAATCAATTGACAAGAAGAAAAGCAATCCCTAATAATAATACCAAAGGTCTCTTCCGAGTTATCAATGGCTTCCCAAATTAACTATCAAGCCTACTTCCGTGGAATCAAGCGAATAAGGGACATTAAACACCATGCCTAGATTCCTAATTATTCAATCATCTACTTCCGTGATGATCTTCAAACCCTTAATTGAAATAACCTAATCCCGTTAATACCCAACTTCCGTTGCAATAAGAACAAAGGGATGATAACAATACTAATTATTCCTAATCTAGTATTGGCATAAACACAATCAATTAAGCATGTCAATTGGGATTATTATTGGGGAATTTAAAGATCTACTTTATACATCAATCATAATCGGGCTTAGCAAGATCCCGGATTAAGGAAACTACTCACAAATCATAATTAAATCAAAAACAAGATCTAATAGAGAACACATAATTAAAGAACTATAAAATAAATAAAAGAGATGGAAAGTAAGAAATACCAAATACTTCAATTGATGATCTTGAATTCTTGAGGAACAATTAATAAAACTAGGATTAAAGATTGAAATTGCTTAAGAAAATAAAACTAGGGTTCTTGAGAGTTTTCTAGGGCTTAAGGAGAAAACTAATGAAAAACTAACTTTAAAAAATTAATTACAAAAGGGTATTTATACCCTCAAAAGATAGAAATTCGGAAATAGCTGAAATCGCGCAATCTTGAACATCGCCCGGTCAGACCGGGCAAACCTCGCCCGATCGGGCGGAGGAAGGCTGCGTAAAATACGACAGTTTTTCCTTCTTTGCCCGGTCAGACCGGGCGAACCTCGCCCGGTCGGGCGCGCGTAACACATTTCCAGAATTGCATCTTCATAACTTGACTTCTTCATCGCCCGGTCTGACCGGGCGAAGCCTGCCCGATCGGGCGCGCGTTGCACCGTTCAGAATTGGGCTTCTTCCTGTGAACTCTTCATTGCCCGGTCTGCCCGGGCAAGCCATGCCCGGTCGGGCATTCCACATAAATTGCAGTTCTTGGCTATCAACTCTTCCGAATCTACTAAAAACACGTCCAATTGCCTAGAAACGCTTCATATTCCTGAAAAGCTTACTAAAACAATCGAATACACTAAAGAAGAGATTGTTAGCAAGAAATAGCTCCGTAGAGCTCAAAACCATGTAAAATCATGCAATC